AAAAATAAAAATAAAAGAAAGATTGAAAATCATGACACTGACCTCTGTACTGAATTCATCATTTATTTCTGTGTTCTGATTAATGCTTAAAAGTGGATAATAAACTTAAAATTTTAGAGATTTGGGTATCCTTCAGTGGCAGTAATAAAATATTAAAATCACAATGAATTTTGAACTGTAATGAAAATGTCTTAAATGATCACTGAATTCCCATACTCAACTTGCTCCTCATTTTCTTCTCTCTTTTTCCTTAAATTTTGTTCAGGGCATACGTATACAATTCTCTGAAGAAGGTAAAATAACCTACCTGTTCTATTTTCCTAAAAAATGATTTTCTGAGAACAGAAAAAAAAAATCCTTTGACAAATAAAAAGTGCTATATAAATGTGAGGCAATCATATCATTGTTCCTTATAGCAAAAAGACTGCCTTGACCTTGAGGAAAGGAAGAAAGGATAAATTAACTGAAGATCCTGTATTGCTCTCACTGCTATAGAAGGCTCACTGTAATTTACTAATTCAATCATATATCTTTTCATCCATCTGTTCAGTACACTGCAGATTTCAGAGACCTATGAACTTTTTAAGAGTCGGTGCAAAAGAAAATAGAATAACCATTTTCTCTAAAACAGCCTGTAAATACACATGCCTTCATTTCTTTAAGAACGATTATTTGGGGAATTTTTTACCCTTCATTTTTTAAATTTTTTAGTTTTTTTCATTTTAATTCCAATATAATTAACATACATTGTTATATTAGTTTCAGGTGTACAATATAGTGATTCGATACTTCCGTACATTACTCAGTGCTCGCCAGGATAAGCATAGTCATTCTCTGTCACTGAGCCCTCTTTGCAACTCCAGAGCCTCACTCAGCACTTGACTATGTAGGTGGCCACCAAATGCCAATGAAATTTCATAAGTCAGATTATTCAGTATGCTGTCAGATAAAACTCATTTGCCCTCTTAAGATTGTCTCACTCTGACTGTATTCAATGGTTTTGATTTCATTTGGCCATCATAAGTATAATCTGTCCAAACTTGTTTGGTAAACAGTAGCTGCTAGTTCAGTTAGTCACTGCCACCCACATCTCATTTCTCCAGGAACCTGAATAGGAGATGTTGGCAGAGCAAAAACTTCTCTAAAGGATTTCACTGAAACACATTTAATAGAATATTGCAACAGAAGTACTGTCAGGCAGCCCTAAGTGTTTGTTTAATGTTTCCAACATCTGTGTAATATTTTTATACCTTTGTTTCCTTTTTCTGATCTTAGAGGAGTAATTCTTCAGCACATGAGTCCCTGGCAAAAGGAAAACACAAAAATCTAATCTTTTCTTGGTCATGATATAAGGCTGAAAAAAAATTAAAAATAAAAATAAATTTTAAAAAACTTATTTTACACCACCTGTTATTTATCATTGCTTAGCCTCTGTTAATTATTTATCTTCTGTATCCCTTTTTATTTTTGACGTCACCCATTAGATGAAAGAGAATAATGGCATAATTCCAGTAAAGCTATAAATATTTATTGAGTAATAATGGATTTTAACCCTATACAAACGATAAAACCTGGGCGAGCAGAAGCTATTCCTTGACAAATTAAAACATACAGATTAAGCATTTGCTAGTATTCAGAGTATTTGGAACAGTAAAAGGAAGTATTTTTGTATGGGAGCTTTGTAATATGAAAACAAAGTGTATAATCATTTTTTTTAAAATATTAAAACTTATTACTCATTGTATTCAAGTACAGTAGACATTCTCCTGAATGTCTGAAAAGATTTATGGAATGAAATATACAGAATTGCTGAATTCCTTAATTAATAGTCCATCACAGTTCGTTAACAGTTGTAACAGTTCATTACAATAACAACAGCTATTTTATATCAGGGAAAGAGTATGAGAGATACTGGACAACAGCATATGTCTGTAAGAATCTCTACAGTATTTTAAGAAAATCCAAAATTTGTTTAATATGTTCGTAAATAGCATTTAAATTATCCTATGCGGGGCGCAGCTAGGGAGACGCTTTGTCCCGGCGGCGGGCTTCCTGGCCTGCGGTTTGGAGCTCGGAGCGGCGTTGGCCGGACCCCTATTCGCGCCCGGCTCGGCTCGGCTCGCTGCCGGGCTCCAGGCCCATGGCTTCCCGGGGCAGAAAGCGGAAGGCCGAAGTGGCGGTGGTCGCGGCGGCGGCGAAACAGGAGAAGCCGGCGGGCGGCCGGAAGGCAGTGGAGGCCGCGACCGTCGTGATCGAGCATTGCACGAGCTGACGCGTCTACGGGCGCAACGCCGCGGCCCTGAGCCAGGCGCTGCGCCTGGAGACCCCGGAGCTTCCGGTGGAGGTGAATCCTGCCAAGCCCCGGAGGGGCAGCTTGGAGGTGACGCTGCTGCGCCCGGACGGCAGCAGTGTGGAGCTCTGGACTGGGATTCAGAAGGGGCCCCCACGCAAACTCAAGTTCCCTGAGCCTCAAGAGGTGGTGAAGGAGCTGAAGAAGCACCTTTCGTAGGGTGTGTTGGGCAGAAGTCCTCGCGCTGAGCCTCCTGTCCCTGGTGGTGTTGGAGCATTTATGATGGAACATGGCCAAAACTTCAGTCATGTACCTGAAGCCAAGGTTTCTTCCCCTCCAGAAAGGATGGTTCAGTTGTGAGGCAACCCTCTAGTAAGGCATTGAAAAGTTCTTGGATTTGGTTTAATAAAAGTTGAAATAAAGTATCTGAATAAAAAAAATAAAAAATAAAAAAATAAAGTATCCTATGTGGTAGAATTGGAAAGAAGATATCGCATGAAAAAAATCAGTCATTTTATGATTAATTTTCTAAGGTCTAGACACATAAAAATGTGGGCAAATCAGATTTTACAACTGATATTCCAGTGTAAGTTGTTTACTATTTATTCACTTATTTTATTTCACTCAGGAGGAAATGATTTTTTTTTCATTTTGTAGTGTAATTGCTATAACTATTAAGATTCCAAAAAGTAGGGAGTATCAGAAATATCTAAGCAACAGAATCAGATTTAACCACAAAATCAGCAGTTTTCATATTGTATAAAGTATACCACTATCTAGTGTTTCTAAATACTAGTAAATGAAAAATATAGCATGACACAGACTGCAAATTTAAACCAATCGACATTATAAGAATCTTCTGTATTAAAAAATACAACATGTTTTGAAAGGTCTAGAATGATTCTACAACAAAGTTTGGCAAACATTACCAACAACTTCAGAGTGAATTATAAACAAAACAGTCACAGCATTGGGAAGGTTATTTTTTAAGTCTGTATAATATGGAGATTCTGATTTTTAGTGTTTATTTGTATGTCTATTGGTGTTTGGCTTTTTCAGATGTAAAACTTTTCTTTTAAATCCAATCTGCTTGGATTACTGTGAGATGCCTGAAACTGCATTTAATTAGTAATTCTTACTAAACACAAGAAACAGATAACCTTGAATCCCATCATACCAATTTATTACACATTTATATTATAAATTTACAGTATCATATATTCATCCATATTCATTAAAAATATTACCAGCATCATTTTTCCATCTTTCGGTTTTAGTCTATTTCAAAGCCAATTCTTTTTCTGTAATATCTCTGATATTTCCTTCAATCTACCAGATGTAGATTTGCCATCAGAAAAATTCAGGCTTTCAGAAACATTACCTATCTTTGTTCTGTCTAAATTAAATCCATGAGCCCCAGTATCACAACCATTGCTGGGTGGTCCCTCCCTTTCCCCAGGCCTCTACAGGGAGATTCATGTGTTGCCCAGAGGATGAAAAAGAACATCCAGGTCTCATTAAGCCCTGTAGTACTACCACCACTCCATAAACATTTAAGATGGGGATAGGCTAATGTTTCCCCAATTCACTTGAGCCACCCTCTTTTGCAAGACTTGCAAGAATGTCTTGCATTATACTTTTAAATGTGAGGTTTTACAGATATTTGTTCTCTGCCTGGGGCCTTAGTCTACACGTAGGCCAGCTTTGTGATTTAGTGTCTCCATCATTTCACAAGCATACATCAAATAAATGAATTTATTTAAAAATTACGATGCCTCTCTCACTCGGGATCTCAGACTTAGAATAAAAGGCAATGTTCTTTACTTATAAAGAACATTTTTCTGGAGACCCTCTGTGCAGAAAAGGGTTAGCATAACAAGCCCAAGACCGCCTGTCCTTAGAAAATCCTGCTTGCAAGGTTGCCCTTGGCTTGCACCTGGAGACTCGGCTGATAAAGTTTCGTACACTGATATAAAGCTTTCTTTAAATGATAAGAGTGGCTCATTGTTTGTGCAAATAATGCGGTTTATGCTGAACACCTGCTTTCCTTCTGGGATTCTAGAATTTAGATACATGTTAGGCAGAATGTGCCTATGTGACCAGTCCCCAGTTTAAACCTTGGATGCTGAGCATCTGATGAGCTTCCCTGGTAAAAACCAAACAAACAAAAAACAAAACAAAACACAACAAAACAAAAAAAACAAAAAACCTCATATGTGTTGTCACAACTCAATACTGGAGAAATTAGGTGTGCCCTTTGTGACTCCTCAGATGGGAGACTCTGGAAATTTGGTGCCTGATTTCATCCATACTTACGTCCCATGCTCCTTTTCCCTTTGTTAATTTTGCTTTGTATTCTTTTCACTGTAACAAAGCATCGCTGTGGGTAAAATTATACTGAGTCCGGTGAGGCCATTTATTGAATCACTGAACCTAGATTGGTCTTGGTGAACCTCAGCCCACTCGCTGAAAAGGAGAATTCTATTTTAGCAAAGGGCTTGAAGCCATCTGAGATTCCGGAAGGATGCTGTCAATACACAGAAATGTATTACCTTCATCCAAAATACTTGCTTTGTATGTTTATTCTGGCAGCTGAGGTCATTACTATCATACAACTATTTTAATTGCCAGTCTTATTTTATACGACTCTCAAATAAGTCACTAAATCAGCCTGAGCACACTGTATTTTTCAAATAAGTTCTTCTGCTCCTCTCCATGTCTTTGTTCATTCTGTTCATATTACCTTGAGTGCCTCCTCCAGCTCTAATTGGTAGGAACCTAATGTCTTTAAGGACCACAGAGAGATAGAAGTGGAGTGGTTAATGCACGGTTTTGGAATCAGATGGTCTAGGCTCAAACCATGACAGGTACTGGCTAGAACCTTGAGCAAGTTATTTCTCCTTTCTGTAGCTCAGTTTCCTTATTGGAATGCATATCATGAAAAAGTAAACTTACAGAAAAGTGGTACTCATGTGTTAGGATTAAATAATTCAACATTTGTAGAGTCTTTAAAACTATGTAACACATTGTAAATGAACATTATTTTTGTGTTTATAACATAAATGATACTGGCTTCATAATTACTCTGAAGAAAATGTTCTACTGGCCTCCTAATTGCTCTGAGGAATGTACATGATATGCCACGGGCCGAGATCCATGGAGCTGGGGTGACAGGGTCGACTTTGAGAGAAAAGAGTGTTTTCATGTGTCATTGATAAGTCACTGGACTGACTTCCTCATCTCCTGCCGCAACAGGTAGAATGAAGTAAATTGTTCTGTGCCTGATTTCCGGAATGCCTCAGGGGGCCACTGCTTTAAAAGCTCCAGAATAATGTTACATGAAAATCTAACACTAACAATAACTTCACAATTAATTGTGAAAAACCGGTCGTAGAATTAAGCAGTTTGCTTTTCAAGTCTGAAAGATACCGAAAATAAACTGAGTTTTAGTGTTTATTTTTGGGCCTATCAGTGTTGTAACTTTGAGTTATAAATTTTTTCTCCTAAATGCAACCAACTAGGGTGGTTGGGCCTCTTGGCCCTCTGACCTCAGAAGACTTAAGGTGTAACCAGAAAAATATCTTGGCATCTGCCCCACACTTCTTGCCACTCTGCCCATGTGTCCCATAAAATCAGTTCTTCTACTTTTGTATTTCTCTAGTCTCTTAATCCCTCCATGTCCCCACTAATCACAGCCACCTCCTGTCTTCACTGCCTTTTTCAATTTATTTAGATTCATGATTCATTTGTAACTTCTTTACAACCAGTCTTCTCTCTCCCTTAATCTCAGTACCCAAGTCTATGCTGGCTTTGGTGTAATCGAAGTTTGCAGGAGGAAGTATTATAACAGCACCGAACACTATCAAATCATGAGCTCTGACATCAAACTGGCACTCAGTACTTTCTGGCAGTGCTAGTGGTTTTCTGGTAAAGTCTCTCTCTCATGGGGAATAAGATCGTGTGCAGGGTATTAAAGTGAGCAAGTACTCTTTCAGTAACTATAAAATAAATGATCATAAATAATGAACATGTAAATACATGTTCCTTGTTTACAGCT